AAGTTACCGCAACAAATACTAATTCGTATAACTTCTTGTAGTAATTAAAATACTGAAGAAATTATTTCGCTTGCAGATAAATTCTTTGATTTGATAAATAAGCCCCAACCGACTAAATCTTTTAATGTTGCTAGTGTAGAAAATAATAATAATATTCTTGAACAATGCATTCGAAATTTAACTGAGTTGACTAGAGCCATTTACCTAAATACTAACAAAATTACAGCAGACATTAATGAATTACAAATTAGATCAAGGTGTAGAGATATAGATAGATATAGAGGTCGTTCTAAATCAAGAAAGTTTTCTAGATCTAGAAACGATATTAACCAAAATATTTGTTGGTATCATAGAAAATTTAAAAATAATGCTTTTAAATGCATTCAACCTTGTAACACAAATAAAAAAGAAAATTCTAATGTTTTAAACTAGATCGTTCCATTATGACGGAGTCTAATAAGGTAAATGAAGATAAACCATCACGCCGCCTATTTATTTATTATATAATAAATTAAATTTTTTAATCGATACTGGTGCAATCTTTTCGGTCATTCCTTCTTCAAAACTCAAATCACATAAAAGAAATTCAGACCTTAATTTGACTGCAGCTAGCGGTTCTTCTATTAAAACTTATTTTACAAAGCTTTTAAAATTGATCTAGGTTGAAGACGCGATTTTGAATTCCCTTTCATAGTAGGTATTATTATTGGGTGCAATGGGGTATAGTCGTTGTGCTGATTATGCAGTTACAGTTGCAGGGCTATACTCAATCCCGACTCTTGCGTCCTCGTTCGCACACTCTGGGCAGCGTGAGCAACCCATGTGCGAGATGCGGTAACCAATCCGAGTGGGGCCTTGGGTCACGGCAGAAATAGGGGGAGCTTCGATGGGGCCACTCCGACTTAATCGGTTTAAGGGCTCACTGAAGTTTGCAGAGTCCGTTCACCAGTAGGTGCGGCTGCAAGCAGGTGTCTGTCTTGGAGCAAGCGGCTCGCTATATAAACGTGTATTTGTTTGCGAAACCACCCCCGTCCCAGCAATGGGTTGTGCGCGGTTTGGGACCCGCCACGTAAAAGCCCCTTCCAGTGAAGAAGCGAACCAATTCCTCAGATGATACCCAATTCCCCCACAACCGACGGCCAATTTATTCGCTACTCGACTCTCACACCTGCTCTCAGAGAGCACTCTTCAACAAACCGATATATGCGAGCAGTTGCACCACATTTCCCGCTCATTAAGTACTGCCGCCGAAGAAGTAGTCGGATTTCAGCGAGCCCGAAAGAACAACTGGTACGATGAGGAGTGTCAGGAAGCTGCAGAGAAAAAAGGTGCCGCCTACAGGGCCACGCTGGGATCGGGCGCAACGCGCTATGTGGGACCGCCATAGGGATTTGAAGAGGGAAGCGAGGCGTATTTGCCGCAATAAGAAGTGAGAGGCCGAAATACGTGAGTGCGAAGGGCTTGAAATGCTTGCCGACAGGAAGAATGCCCGAAAATTTTACCAGAGGGTTAGGCGACTTACGGAAGGTTTCAAGACCAGGGCGTACTCCTGTCAGAACAACAATGACGGCCTAGTTACCGATGTTCAGAACGTACTTAAATTATGGAGGGAACACTTTTCCACGCTACTGAATGGTAGCAGTACGGAAAATTTTGGAGAACAACCCGAGCCCACAGTCGATGATGACGGAGTCGATGTTCCTCCACCTGACCATGATGAGGTACAAATAGCAATAACGCGGCTGAAAAACAACAAAGCTGCTGTCAGCTGAGATATTCAAGTACGGTGGCGAAGAGTTGATAAGGTGCATGCATCAACTCTTGGTCAGAATATGGGCAGATGAACGTATGCCCGACGACTGGAATTTAAGTGTACTCTTCCCAATCCACAAGAAAGGCGACCCCGCCATTCGCGCCAACTACCGCGGGATCAGCCTTCTAAACACAGGTTACAAGGTATTATCGAGCGTATTGTGTGAAACACAGAAGCCCACCGTTAATGAACTGATTGGGCCTTATCAGTGTTGCTTTAGGCCCGAAAACAACACCATAGACCCGGTATTCACAATACGCCAAATCTTGGAAAAGACCCGCGAGAAAACAATCGACACTCACCACCTATTTGTCGACTTTAAAGCCGCTTTCGACAGCACTAAAAGGAGTTGCCTATACGCCGCTATGTCTGAATTTGGCATCCCCNGTCTGAATTTGGCATTCCCGCCAAACTGATATGGCTGTATAAAATGACTTTGAGCAATACCACCAGCTCCGTCAGAATTGGGAAAGACCTCTCCGGGCTGTTCGCCACCAAACGGGGCTTCAGACAGATCGACTCTTTTTCATGTGACTTCTTTAATCTGATTTTGGAGAAGATAATAAGAGCTGCAGAACTGAACCGGTCAGGAACAATTTACTACAAGAGCATGCAATTGCTGGCTTATAACGATGACATCGATATCATCGATATCAAAAACCGCGAAGTCTGTTCTGCGTTTTTCAAGTTGGATAAGGAAGCAAAGCGAATGGGTCTGGTGGTAACCGAGGACAAGACGGAGTATCTCCTGTCATCAAACAAACAGTCAGCACATTCGCGTCTTGGCACCCACGTTACTGTTGACAGGTATAATTTCGAGAAAGTAGAGAATTTCGTTTACTTGGGAACCAGCATTAACATGGTTCCATGTCAGCATGCAAAACCAACACAGAATCACTCTTGCCAACAATTGAGCTTTTAAATCTGTATTTGAAAGACTTGAAAAATATAGTTTGAATATTAAACCTAGTAAATGCATTTTGGAGCAAGTAAATTGGATTTCAAGTGGAGGAATCAGACCTTTTTTCGGACGAGATGAAGCAATAGTAAATTTTGAAAACCACTTTCAATAAATGAAATACAACAATTTATATATATAGCTATGGCTTTTGAAAATGTGAATAAACTCTGTACACAGAAGACTTTACTCACTCATTTTGATAAAAATGGTAAATTATCACTTGCTCCCGATGCATCGAATGTAGCAGTGGGTGTGGTTGTGCAACAAATGAGTAATAACACTTTGGAACCACTTGCACATTTTTCAAGAAAATTATCCCCTACAGAAATTAATTACTCCACATTTGATAGAGAACTTTTAGCAATATATAATTAAATTAAACATTTTAAACAATTTCTAGAAGGTAGAACATGCACTGTTTACACTGATCATAAACCTTTAACCCTTAATGAGACGCATGGGGCCAAGGCCATTTCCAGTTGAAAAAAAAATGTCTTAGGGTACTTGGAGCGTGCTCGCGCTCTTTCTAGCTTCCTAACTCCCCGCGGGGTACGTAAATAAGTCACTGCCAGAACACCGGCGTGTACGCATGTGTCACTACTCTTTTGAGTCCTGACCCCATGCGACCACTTGCGTAATATTTTTTATTTTTGTATCTAAGTTTGAAGTCAAAGTTACGCTTTTCTCTCTTAAAGTTAACTATAATAAAGAGCTTTAATATTTATGACAATACACATTTCGTTTTATTTATTTAAGTGCTGACCCCATGCGACCACTAACTTAACATTTTTTGGGGGAGGTAAGTTTTTAATTTTTTTTTAAGTTTGAAGTCGAAAATATGTTTTTGTTTTTTTTTAAGTTAACGATAATAGTGTACTTTAGTATTTTTGATAATACAAACTTGGTGTTTTTATTTGAAAACTCTTTTTTCGACACTTTTATTGGGGTCACTGAGGACCCCATGCGACTAATTGTGTGATTTTCTTTATGCGCCTAATTAAGGGTTAACACATATTCTAACTAAATCAAACAGATCATCTCGGCAATTTTGACACTTAGGGCCAGTTTTTTAGTGCCAGTTTAAACTGAGTTTAAATTGAACAACCGGCTGACGTTTAATTGGCTGACCTTAGTTTAAACCAGCGATATCGGGCGTTTAAACTTAGTTTAAACTACGGCCGTGCGCTGCAAAACTGGCCCTTAGAGTACATCGCACAATTTACAGACGACATTCAATACATTTCTGGAAAAGAAAACATAGTTGATGATACCCTTTCACGTATTCCAGATGTTATCACGATTTTAGCCCAAGACATAAATTTTCAAACATTATTCGAGGAACAACAAAAAGATCAAGCACTTTATGACATAATATCTGCTCAAAATTCCAGCAGAAATTTAAAAGGAATTAATATTCCAGTACTTAACCTTAATATTTGGTGTGATATTTCTCAACAACAAATGGTCCAAGTTCCGAATTCTATGAGAAAAATCATTTTTGATAAAATTCATTCTTTATCTCATGCCGTATCATCCGTATAACTAGACGTTTGACTCAATCAAAATATTTTTGGCCTAATAAATATGCGCAAAGAAATAAATAATTGGATTTCTATTTGTATAAAGTGTCAAAACTCAATTATTTCTAAACATACTAATGGCCCTATTATGTATGGCGACTGGGGTATAGTTGCTGGTCTAGTAGGCATGGCTATCAGTATCGTAATTTGTATTATGTATGGCGATTAGTCTCAGTATACAGAAAAGCGCAGACAACATCCTTTTGTTTAATTTTTTGACGAGTACATTTTGAAGTAATTGGCAACTTTGTTCAAATGTGTATGAGAATTCATGTAAAAACATTGAAATATAAAAATAAAAATGTTCAGCAGCTTTGAATTATTTTTTACAAGTCGAGAAGAAAGCGCAAATATCGCTTTAATACGACGACACATAAGAGATCGTTCCAATCCCTTGGATCTACCAGTTGTGAAGTAATTGTTATTATTTCCTTAACAAATGCATATCTCCAGGTTCATAAGCAATTTTCGCATATCCAAAGAAGCCTTTTTATATTTGCTGGAAGAATTATCTCCACATTTTAAAACTAACTACCGGTCAACAGCTGTACCTCCACTGCTCAAACTTTGTGCAGCGCTGCGTTTCTTTGCGGAAGGAAGCTACGAAAAATTCCAAGGAAATGACTTCAACATTGGCATCTCACAACCCACGATGTCTATCGTACTTAATGAAGTGACCACCTTGATAGAGCAGAAAATTTGCCCAAAACACACAAAATTTGATATGAGTGAAGAGGAGCAGAGCAACAGCAAAATACACTTCTATAATAACAGTGGATTTCCACGTGTCATAGGTTGTGTAGATGGAACTCATGTCCACATTTTAGCGCCTATAAAGGAATTGCAACATCTATACATAAATAGAAAAGGATACTTTAGCATAAACGCGTTAATGGTAAGTGAATTGACGTATGTTTGTTTTGGGTACTTAAAAATTTCTTACAACTTAGGTTTGCGACTACAAAATAAATATAACCTATGTCGATGCCAGACATCCTGGATCCACACATGATGTCTTTATATGGGACAACAGCACACTCAAAGAAATGATGTCAAATATTGCATCAGAAAACACGTGGCTTTTAGGTAAAACCATTTTAATGCATAATCTAATTAGTGCGCCAATTAACAAATGTGTTTACTGCTTTAGGTGACGCTGGATTTCCGTTGGAGACATTTCTGATGACTCCATTTCGAGCCGCAGAAAGCGGCAGCCCAGAATGCAGATACAATAAAGTGCATTGCAAAGCCAGGAACATAATAGAGCGAACTTTTGGTGTTTTGAAGCCGAAATTTAGATGCCTATATTCCGAGCGTGGGCGTCATTGTGCACCAGAGAAAGCGACTGCAATGATAAATTCATGTTGTGCCATTTATAACATTGGACGTATGATTATAATTATCGGTATACAGACTGCGATACCGAAACTGATATTGCAGAGATGGAGAAAAGTTTTAATTTTGAAACAGGGAGACAAATCTTGTAGCTCAAGAAATAAGATGTAATTTAATGAATTCTTTCACGGAATAAAACTTTATTACTTAAAAGGCAAAAAAATATCAACATTCAGTTCACTTCAGTTCTGTAGATTCATACATATGCATATGTATGTATATTTATGTAAGTACATACTAGTATTACAAAGAGCCTCCTTAAAGTAATTTCAATATTTTAAAATAAATTCACATTCAGTTTTTCTCTCAATTCACTTGGTGAGATCCATAGTAGACAAAATAAAAAAACACCTAAAAATCAAGAAACTTCAAAACTACAATATTTTTATCGCATATTATTTAACTGACATTCGATGAGCTGAATTTTTTTCTTTTTAGTTCAGCTTCTATCTTCATATTTTTTTTGCTATTTGAAATTTTCCTTTTTTCAATTTGTAGCTTTTTTCGGCATATTTACTCATTTTATAGATATTTTTCTCGATCCTTTTTAAAGTTTGTGCTATTTGCAGTTTGCGACTCTAACATATCCACTTTAATTTCTTCCGTACTTTTCTTTTTTATATTTCTTATGCGCATACTTGTATTTGCGTTTGTTGAAAGGTTTGGGAAAATTTTCCAAAACGGAACCCGACTTTTAAAAAAGGCTCCGGAGGCTTATACTTTTTATGAAAATTGAATTTTAAGTTGCAAAAAATGTCAACTTCAACCTCTCTTTTTGCTTTGTAAACCAATTATACTACAATGTCGGTGATGCCACACAACAAAAAATGCCCAAAAAAAGCACTGAAAATGAGAAACAATAAAAACGGGCATTGTAATAAATTTTTTTTTAATTAAATATCGATGTATTGATAAAAAAAAAGCTGAGATTTCCATTACGGAACCAATTGCTATTCCGTGCAAAGTATAGTGAATTTTTTTATGAAACTCGGTGGGGATACTAATGGAGGTCTCCTTTAACTATATTTATCACTTTCACAGTGTTGTTGCTAATAGTACTTAAGTTATTTGTTGTTAAAATATCCAGCCTGCTATCACCACATTTTATTATAACTCCACACCTATCACTTTTATTTACACAAATATATTATCCTTAAAAGGTTCACATGCGTTTGTAATACCTTAATATACAATTATTAATTAATTAGTTAAGTAAAACGCGTTAATAAATGTCTTCACAAACGTTTGCACATTTCACAAACAAGCAGAAATAACAATGGCTGACAGTAACACAAAATGTATGCTACCATACGTTAAAAAAAATACACCACAAATAAGTGCGTATAATTAGGGGTATAAGTGTACAATACGTACATTGCTCTTATATATTAGGATCGGTAGGGGTCTTACTCCTGATCATAACGATATAATTTTTTTCGGGGGGAAATAATATTTACTTGTGTTATTATAGTTCAAAGTACACAAATGTAGAAAACGAACATCGATAATTTGATAAAAATTGAAAATTTTTAATAAAAAATCGCGCGATTTTCGCCTGCGGCGCTTTTTCCATAAAAATCAATACTTCGATAAATAACGAAAATCTTTAATAAAAAATCCCGCGATTTTTTATTAAAAATTTTCGCCTGCGGCGCTTTTCCTATAAAAATCAATACTTCGATAAATAATGAAAATTTTTTATAAAAAATCGCACGATTTTTTATTAAAAATTTTCGCCTGCGGCGCTTTTTTTCATCAAAATCAATACTTCGATAAATAATGAAAATTGTTAATAAAAAATCGCGCGATGTTTTATTAAAAATTTTCGCCTGCACCGCTTTTCCCATAAAAATCAATACTTCGATAAATAACTAAGCTAACATTTTTATTACAAAATCTCTCGTTTTTAGACTGAATCACTTTTTTTTTATCAATACATCGATATTTAATTAAAAAAAAAAATTAATTACAATGCCCGTTTTTATTGTTTCTCGTTTTCAGTGCTTTTTTTTGGGCATTTTTTGTTGTGTGGCAGCACCGACATTGTAGTATAATTGGTTTACAAAACAAAAAGAGAGGTTGAAGTTGACATTCTTTGCAACTTAAAATTCACAGCCTTATTATGTATCTGTAGGCGATATCGGCACGCATTGCAATTTTGTAACTCTGTCGTTCGTCTTCGTCTTGTCTTTACGTCGATTACGTTGCAATCGTCTCGGTTACCTTGTATGATGTTGCCGGATGAAATTTTGATGTACTTCCAAAGAGTTTTTCTTAGATTTCTAATATTTTCAGCTTATTTCAATGCTTTTTATTTTAAATGGGCAACATCGGAATTGTTTACATTTTGGTTTTGCTTAAAAGTGTTTTGGTGAAATATAAGGAAAATTAATTTTTAAAAATGTATGCTGCTATAGCGCTAAAGGACGCCGAGGAATCCGAAGAAAGGGAAAGGCGAATACAGAGGAGCAGATTGCGAGACCACACCAATGTAATGGAACTACCTGAGACTGAGTAAGTTCAAGATTAGGAAATAATTTTTGTATGCTACAATGTATTCGTTTCTAGATTTGTTGCAAATTTCCGAAGCAATAAAGAAATATTCCAATACATATTAAACGAATTAAAAGAGCACATGGCTCCATCACATAGAAGCACCCACCTATCGCAGCAGCTAAAACTTGCGACTTTTTTAAGATTTCTCGCCACCGGCAGTTACCAAAAATCTGTTGGTAACGAAAATATTTCGTCGATGGGGCAGTCAACTGCAGCCAACGTGATCAGGGAATGCCTAAATATTTTTGAGGACCATTTTTGCCAGAAATGGGTGAATTTTAGGAGAAACATCGATGAGGAAAATGCAGTTAAAGAATATTTCTTTGAGAAATACAGAATACCTGGGGTTATTGGTTGTGTTGCTGGAACACACGTTCGTATTAAGTCGCCAGGAAGTGACAACCACCATTTATACCTCAACCGCAAGGGTTTTTACAGTCTTAATGTAATGGTGGTAGGTTAATGATTTACTATCTTTACAAGTATACATATACACAAACTGAGTTTCCTTACAGATATGCGACCACAACATGGTAATCACATTTGTTGACGCTAGGCATCCAGGGGCGAATCATGATTCATTTGTTTGGAATGTAAGTCACGCAGAACAGGAGCTAAAATGTGATTATAACAATGGAAAAACCAACACATGGCTACTCGGTAAGTTTTAAAACTTAAAAAGGCTATAAAACTATTACTGACAATGAAAATTTTTGTAGGTGATTCTGGTTACCCCTTGCAGCCATACTTGATGACGCCATTCAGAA